CGTCCTTTGGAAAGTCCGGGATAGATGGTTTGAGGCTGTCCACACTCACGACCACCTCATGATTAGGGCGTTGAACGCGGAACGTATTTGTCCCTCGAGAGAGGACGCGGAATGGGCCGTCATAGGGCTGACCCAGAGGCTACGGACTCGACCATATCGAAGGTAGACGTGAGAGCACGTTGCCAAGTCCTTCTCGACATAAGGCAGAGAGTGAGAGGACCTGGGCAGAATCGGAGAAAGTGTTTTTACAAACTGCCGGGGACGGTCCAGGAGGTTGGTGGGATCCTCGACCGCACCATGAGTATTTGACAAGATCACCTCATCAGGAAGTCGGAATGTAGCACAGATGACCAGGTTGGCTGTGGAACAGTCAAGGTTTGGCTGGAGAACGGAATGGATGCCTAATAGGAGCAGGGGAAGATGGTCTGCCCAATTCTTCGGATCATCCACGGGGCGTTGGGAACCCTTCAACTGGCGGTGGAACCGCACAGCCATCCCGTTGGCTGCCGGATGATAGGCCGTCGTTTGAATGACATTCTGGACGAAAAAGGGGAGGAGAGACTGGAAGAGGTTAGACTCACACTGGGCACCGCGGTCAGTCGTGATAGTGGAGGATGTACCAAAGATGGCAAGCCGAGGACTGAGAAGCGCCTTGACGACCGTTGGAGCAGCAATGTCAGCAAGGGGAGTAGCTTCATGCTACCGGGTAAATCGACCCACACAGGTGAGGAGATCGAAACGGACATTGGACAGAGACAGGGGGCCTATGATGTCCTGGTGGACATGACTGAGCCATGCATTCGGAGTGGGGAAGGTGACGATAGGAGTTAGGAGTTTTGTTGGACCTTATTCCGTTGACAGCCGAGACACGCCCGTCTCCATGCTTTTAGGCCCTTGTGCATTTCGTTGGCAGCAGGGTGATAGGCTGTCGTGCGAATGCGAATACAGCCTAAAAAGGAGAGAGGAGACTCGAAGACGTGAGATTCAAGCTGTGCAACGCGATCAGTCGTAGTTTGGAGCGTGAACCTAAGAGGATGACACAACGACTAGGGAATACCTTGACGACTATTTGAGCAGCGATATCGGGCAAAGGGATAGCCTCCGTCCATCGAGGGAAGTGATCTCAAAAGGTGAAGAAGTAGGAACACCTGTGGGGCTGATGCATGAGACCTACAATATCTAGGTGGACATGACTGGATTTTGCATGAGACTGGGGAAGCTGCCGATGGGAGCTTCGTTGTGCTGTTGAATCTTGCTCCTCAGACAACCAAGACACGCCAGTGTCCAGGCCTTCACGTTCTTGCATATCTTAGAAGCGGTGGGAGACCAGGTTGCCAGTAGCTCGTCTTCTAAGGTGAGATAGATTGTGCAGGGAGGAGGAAACTTTGCGGCAAAGCGATGGTTGCAAAAATGAACGATAGGATGTGGTTAATACATCGCATAGAATGATGCCGTTGTCTGTTGTCAGTGGTAGCTCCTGGAGTTGTAGTCAGGAAACATCCTCATCACAGGGTGAACCGAAACAGCGTTGTTCAGCGGCCAACTCAGTGAGGTCGATCCCGGGTGAAAGTGCTGAATATAGCCAGTTTGTTTTCATGCTTTCTGGAAGACTGCGATGAAGTAGTTTTCAAATTGTACACTTTAATACGACTAATCCACAATTTTGTCCTTCCACTGCATGAAAAGAAAAGCATCGTAAATTTTATTAGTCTCGAATTCAAGTTTGGACCCCTCAACGGGAATGATAATTCTGCTCTCTTACTTTATCGTTAACATTCATGACTATGAAATGAGTAAAGTACTATATTTACGAAGAGTCTGGAGACTCCGCTGTTTAGACATTGGCCCCACAGAAATCCAACATACTGGAGTTTGCAAACGTATAACTTCCGATCTGATTCCGACAAATTCACTTGTAGGCGTGTGCAAGGCGGTCCATTCTAAAATAAGCAAGTTTGCGCATATTACAGTCGGCCAGACTACCCAGTCATAGGGTCCGGAATCGCTCACCTGCAAAGTGGATAAGTTTGACGCAGTGTGGAATTGAACAAAGACGTCGCGCTTCGCGGTGATGACTCTCAGTTACAGTATTAACTTTCTCATAAGTCAGAACCTGATATGCCAACCTCAACAGGACAAAAATAGAGGATAACTTAGTGGTCGAATTTCACTCAATCGCTCTGCTGCCGCATTCAGTAAGCTAGCCGTCTGGTCCTAATGGTGACCAGTAATTACCATCCCTATGGTTGTTAAACTCTGCAGGACTTCCGACCAACCATACGTTTCGAAAGCCCGAAATTGTCTCTTTGTAGATTTCACAGATTGCCGCAATTATCTTGTGGCAGTATCAAACACTTCAGCGCATCTCAATCCCCAGAATGTGCTGGATTTAATTCCTAACTCAGATATTGCTTCTGCTGCAGTTTTTGAGATCTATGGGTTTAAATAAGGCCACAAAATATGATCTGCTCATTCTGTCCTTACAGAGCATGACGAGAAGAACATCATAAATGTCCTTCACCTTGATTTTAGACCTGGGATCCTTCCGAACTGCGTGTTGGCCGCAGATATCTACCGATGGCTATCGGGCCGGAAACGGAAATTGCACACTCTCTTACCGTATTGGTAGTATCCCTGATTCCGAAGTGACTAAGTTACAACAGATATATAGGACCTGAGAACTAGGCTGTTTAGGTACTGGACTAGCAGTAATACTAATTAAATGCGATTTAGACGAAAGTCTTGCAATCTGATTCTGAGAAGTCAACTTGATCAGTGCAGCAGATTGGTGATGATGCTATACAAGCGAAAATGATTGGTGAGTGACGGTCTAGGGAAGACGAATAAGTCGACAACGAAGATTTCAGTTTTTCATTTTTCTCACCTTGACTGTCTACCTATTGACGTTACTTCTGCAAAGGCGAAAATGGTCTTGGTTTTCTTCGTCAGCTCATCAGGGAAGCATTAAATGTCATTCAGGGGGATGGCCGTAAGTGTCATTGTTCGTATGGAGCAGGCTAAGGCTTTCATACATCTAGCATTTCTGCATTCCCTTCCAAATGACCTTTAGCGAAACAGATGTATGGAGGAGGTGGAGTTCTGTGCAGATTCCCAGCAGAAGGGGCCATTCTCGTTGAAGCCGGCGAGTCCATGGGGATACAGCACTCCCCTCACGCCCGTGTGCACCTTTCCGATTCGTGCGTGGAAGTTGGCAAGGTCAAAGAGCTTGTTCGTCTCCGGCATGGTTGCCAGGATTGCATGCAGATCCCTGTGAATGTTAGTCTTCCCCTCGTCAGAGCTGGTAATGGGGACGACGTAGGCACTCATGATGAGAGCGAGGTATGTGCAGGGTCTTTGTTTTTCCTCCTGTGATCAAACACTCCTAACCACAACATTGTATGATCTCTGGAAGAGACACTCGTCATCCATTCTTGTAAGTAGGCTGCTCACTCGCCTTAGTGAAACATTCCTTCCCCCATGGTAGTTACTTGAGACAATTTATTGAATCATGAAGTTCGTCAATCCAGCAAATGGACTGCAAAACAACTAAACCTGGCGTACATCCCGAAAACTACTGCAAGCATCTCATGGCACTTTGAAACGGTTCAGCGTATTTAGGGGTTCAGCATTTGCAAAAAGTAAACACCAAGCGAAAATACCGGCTCCACTACATTCTGTGAGATTTGCCTCTTCTCCTATAGTCACAACAATTTCCTTCTACACTCTGACACGCAACACCACAATCTCATTAAATGCGTCTTCTGTGTTAGATATCAATGGCAAATGCCGATAGCTAACATCTGAATGTATGCAAATTGAACGACAACCAGATGCATTTGATTTTAGTTGATAGCTTGACTGAGAATTCTGACACCCCTTTATCATGCCAGCATGCTACTGCTTTCCTCTACTTCCTCTAAAACTCCGACCAGTGGTCTTCACTTCCGCATAAGTTGCCACATGCTCTGCCATCCACGCACTGCGAGAAATCAATAATGCGTTTGAATTTTCAGCTTGGTCGATCGTCCGGTTGTCCCACTCAGTAAACTGGCCGTCTTGTTGGAATGAGGACGCTTCTGGGTGCATCAAAAGTGTCATTGGTGGTTATTATCCTGGTTGTTGCTCACCTCGGAAGAACTTCCTTAAATCCACGACTTACGATAACAAAAAATTATTTTTTAGAAGGCTGCGAGCCGGATGTGCCACTTGTACGTCATGTAGCGATAAGGCCTGCCGTAAAGAAATATCCGAATGACCAAGAATTCAGATACTGCGCCACGACTTTATCAACAGTGAAGCAATTAAGTAGAGGACCACTGGAAGTGCGAGCATTCGGCACTTATATGAGACAAATGAACAGGGGGCAAGGTGAATACATCTACGGTCAAGCGTTTGCAATCTCCGAAGTCTACAAATACTACCACCATGCTGACATATTTCAGGCACCAAAGCGAGTTGCATATACAAACATACAACAAACATACTTCACACGCTTTGAGGCTTATCACGATGGAGTCGATTACACGGTTCAAATCGACTGTATAAACGAGGCAGTCAGATACCACTGCACACAGCTGTGCGGCAACGATTTTCGAAAAATTTGCAGAAAAAGAGAAATTCGAGATGAATGTCGGCCGCCCTGGGTAGCAAAGTACAATCAAGTGTGTGAATACAAGGTACTGTATATGCAATGTGTGCCGCATTGTTGGGGAGGTTACCAAATATACGAGATAGACTGCAGTCAGCAGATGAAATGTGATGACGGTGTACCAGGAAGTTGCATTGGCTTGGACAATGACACATCGATAACACTCGGAAATGTGGCAGTGCGGATCGATTCTAGTCTGATAACGTCATTGGGGGAGCGCATCTTACGTTGCATCGTCACATACCCATCGGATCCCTACCAGGAAAAGAGACTCCGGGACTCTGAACTCATAGACTGGACATGGTCTCCATTACACCTGGCCATCAGACAATCGAAACTAAGCCTTCGCATGATGACCCACAGTCCAGCCTTCTTCAAGGCAACTTGTAAAGTCCAAGGCGGTCCAGATGCCACTTACAGCATAAATACCACAAACGTCGGCACTATTGAGCATGGTCCCCTGATCGTCTATTCTATCATCGGAGACTCGCAAAAACACGACACCACTCACCTGCTTGAAACCTACCTAGGCGCATCTGTCAAGTGTGAAACCACTGTTACACCACCAATGTCTAAATACTATGAAGTTCGTTGGATTGCCCTTGATCCACACAGTTCTCGTTCTCTTCGTGCAGGCCTCATGACGCAACGTGTCGAGGCCAGCGACACGATGATTTCCACGACACTCTGGTTCGATGCAGATACTGCGCTCGGCAACTATGAATTAATCTGCAGTTTTCATCAGATCAAACAACGTCAGACCCTGCTAGACACGCGCATCAGACAGTCCATAGCTCAGGTGACCCTACGACTTCGCTTGAATCTGGTGGAGGCATTTAAGCTGCATCCGGAACAATCCACTTACTTGACCACCGATTCCATTGTACTGTGTCAAGTCCGTTCGCCACTCAATCCGAAGCCAATTCTCATGGCTACCGGAGGATTTGCAGTCCAAAAGCAGCTACCTAACCCTTTCAAGATTAGCGAGGAGAACACGCGACAAGGAACTCTCGTGGTGTCCTGTACGGTTCAACTAAACAAAAGGGTGAACCTCCGTCTGCGACGCAGCTACACTATCTTCTTTAGGACACCCACCAAATCCGGCTTAGCACTGACCCATAAATTTGCCAGTTGCAGTCCACAACTGATGATTGGGACGCCGAGCTACCTGTGGTATATACGTCAACACGAAGGCAACGGCTCTCGTCTACGTGTATTACCCTATGTCACACCTGACGTGGTTCTCTCGAAGGTCATCGGACGGTGGGGTGTGGATGGGCAAAACCTGACTCTCGGCTGTACTGTCACCTCCAGTCACTGGAATGCGGAACTGGTGCACATATGTGAGCAGACGATCGAAGTTGATCAAGCAAGGCAGGACAATATCGTCTTCATATTCCACAACCGGCTAATGAACAATGCAATTGTCTTTTTCCTCCTTCAATTAGTCTTCCTGTTCGGAGTATTTGCTCAGTTCATGTTGCTCAGTATGCCACACCAGCTGAGCGCTGACCTCACTGTAATAAGGCTGATTGCACGCCGAAGGGCATACCTGGCTCTACAGGAGCAACGGGAAATGAGGCGGATGAGAATGAGTGGTCGAAAATCTAAGTGAATGGTGTTCATCCGAGATTTGTATGCTATGTTCTTTTTGCATTTTCTGAATAGAAATTTTTGGTGTTGAAACTTGCATTACCTTCAAATATACGTGTTTCTTTTAGTTTGTGCCTTTTCTTCTTTTCCGAATTCGACTTCACTCTTCCGGATTAGAGGGCACACACTGAGTAATTATCCGATATTCAGTGTGTGTGAATTTTTCTAATGCGTAGACTTTGGTCGAGGGTGTTTTGAATATACTCCATGGGCTTTGTCTAAGCCAGCCGTGGAAGTCGATGACAGCGTTTCCGTATGCTTCATGATGTGAAAAATTTCTGCATGTTCGCACCTTCACAACTTCGAGTAAGGTTAAGGTGCCGTCCGCTTCCTCATTCCTGGCTACCAACTGCGATCTAGCCCTTTGTTTTGTCAATACACGCAAACACTTGTATATTTGTGTAGGCCAGACTTGCCCGAGAAAAGGGGGCTTCAGTAGGACAGCACATATGCGTTACGTTCGCATAACATTTTGAACGCCACTGGTTATTTAATAAGGAATAGAAAAAAATATCATGTCGCCTGTCCGTTCCTGGAATCCTTACATTCACTTCTTGACGGATATCTGCGGCCCTCCGGCGATTTTACAATTGTCTAGCCTACGCTCACGTTGCTGTTCCCTTCCATAGGAAAGCGGAGCGGTATTCTCAAAGATAACCTGCACAACACACACTGTGTCAACTAGGTGTTGCGTTACTTTTGCATTAAAAGCCTCCATTAGCACTGGTGACTAGAAATGCGACTGTTGTCGTGACATCCACGCAAAAGCACGCAGTGTGCTCACTGCGAGGCCCGATTTATCCCGTCAGTTGACAGCCTCCCATGCCAAGAACCCAAGGTTTCTCGGATAGTTGCTAGCGCGTCAGCTTGCACACAGTGGGGAATTTGCCGGTGTCATCATTTCTACTTACGTGTACAGTAGTAGTAATTAACTTCTAGTAGTTCGCGCCTCCTTCCTCTCCGCCGATTTGTCACTCTGCCCTCCTGTCTGCCACACGCTCCCTGTCGATTCGCTGCTGGGATGGCGCGAGGCTCGCGAGCTGCGTGAAACCAATCCACGCGGCCCATTTTTTGACTGGCCAGCGGAAACTGAGATTGAACGAAGGACGCACACACGCGCTGGGGTAAAACCACCTCAACGGCTGTCGCTGACTGCCAGCAAAGCCTCTTGTGCACGTACTTCTTCATCAGTAAGCGTTGCATAACCTACTCCGAGTCCCAGGAAGTAGTCTTGAAGAAAAAGCCACGATCGCCGGGACAAGAGCTTTATTAGCCTGACGTTTGGGATTCCTGCTCGGATCCATCATCGGAGACAAAAGCAGATAAGGGTGGTTCATGCATATGCGGCTGCAGTATTTATAGGATGCAGTAGCCATGCTACCCCATA